GCGTTGCCCCCGCACCCCCAACCCATGTAACTTCTTTTTTTTGGGCAGATTCTTCTGCTCCGCTCTGCTTCGATCTAACATCTGTCCTTATGTGATATATGAGTCATATTATAACACTCGTCATACTGAAAAACTTTTAAATTCTCAACTTTATTTTTTACAACTTAAGAAATAATGAATGCCATCAGAATAAACAATGGGATGAACTAAGAGATCACCCTATAAATTAACTACAAAAAGCAGGTAAAATGCAAGACCCACCCTTCAATAATAAAATAAATGGAATTGGCAATCATTTCAAACCAAGCAAATTTAACGTTTCATCCAAAATATTATCATGATAAAACAAGGCAGAAGAGTAAAAATTCATGTAACAATTAAACACAAAAGACTTACGTGGTTCGGCTTTAACTTGATTCACCTACGTCCACGGAGAGGGAGATTCTACTAGTACCAGATGAGAGAAAGAAAAATGGCTTGGGGTTATAACTCAAACACCTCTTATCATAACTCTCACAGTCTTGAACAATCTTTTTTTTAATGACCAGACTTTAAATAGAAAACATATTTATTTTCTCAAGACTGCACCCACGAGACTTGCCTCGCTTTTGAGAAGCGTCGCCGCTGCCACCTTTATTTGACCAATTCTTCTTTTTCTTCTCAGGTTTGCCACATTGGAGTGCAAGTGTTTTGACGGATTCCATCTTTGCGCACTCCATGTCTCTTTGACGAAACTCAAAATAGTGTCTTAGCCATTTTGCCATAATTCAAGACCTCCTTCTCATGAATCAGTGTCATAGTGAAGTTTCGTACTCATCCGGGAGCAAATTTAACAGAAGAAACACCTTGTCTTCGTCTCCAACATCCTCATCTAATTTTAGCAGATCTGTCAATAACTTAATGAAGTCATTCAGGTGCTCATAAATAGTAACCCTCTATCTCATTTGAAATTTGTAGAGTCGACGCTTCATATGGAGACGATTCGTCATATTCTTTGTGAGATATTTGTCCTCCAGCATCCTTCACAATTTTCCTATATAAGTCTTCATCATCACCCTATATTTGATCTTCTTGGCCAAGCAATTTCAAACAAGCAACAAACATTATTATTCAACTTCAATCGATCTCTCTATGCATCCCATCAGAATTTTTCATTATCAAGGTCTTCCTTCAGATTCAGAGAACATAGCGAATCTATCATCTTATATCGTCACATGCCAAAATTTATTTTTTCGTTGAATTTCATCACATTAACTTTGATAGGATGCGTAACCACATGATGAATCACCTTTTCATCATCATAATGGAGGTTGAAAAACCTGACATTTTGTTACCATTCATGGCTCTCACCATTGAAATATTTCCTCCAAAAGAATTTCTTTAGCAAAATACCCAAGGATAAAGGTGTAAAAAAAAAAAATCACCTAAAGAATAATTTCATAAATATAATTTTTTTCTCTCGAAATTCTTTTTTTTTTAATTATTCCTAAAATTCCATTTCCCTTTAAGAAATTTCTAGAATCATGTCTTTTTTTTTTCTTCCTCCTTTCCCGAAATGAGCAAATATTACAGCTAGGCACTAGCTCTCTATATGGAGAAAATATTAGGTCAAGACTCTGGATGTAACCGGAGTCCAATAAGGAGGCAACACGTATAAAGTGGCCAATCACAGTGTATTGTGACGGGTCCACTTTACATGTGGCTCCTCGTTATTGGACTTTGAATGATCCGGAGTCCTGGCCTAAAATTTTCTCCTCTATGAGCCCGACCAAGTTCACTTTACACGTGGCGCCTTTTTATTGAACTCCAAATGATCCGGAGTCCTGACCTAATATTTTCTCCTCAATGAACCCGACCAAGACCTTCAGAACTTCATGATCCATCTTCTCCATAAGTTTCAATTCTTTACTTCCCACACTATTTTCTTTTTCAAGGATAAATCTAGTGCACACAGAACTGCATCACACGCCGCGATCCCTGTAGCGATCTGTAAGTCGCGATCCCCTTGCTAAATGTTGTTTCATGATGATGTTGCGTCGATCTCTTCACTCCCGTCCCAATTAGCTTGAATCACGATAATTTATTGATGATGATGTCGATCGTGAATTCGAGTATGCACGGCGATCAATCCCAACACAATCTATTAGGGTTAGCTCTGATATCATGTTATAAGAATAGTTCAAAAATCTTATTATTTCATTCCTAGCATAGGCTTAAATAGATTACAAATTTTACCAAAAAGAGAACCCACAAATAATCTTTTTTTTTAACGCATAACTCTTAACATCACTGCAAACTAAGCCTGATATTATGATCAAACTACGAGTCCCACAACTAAAACCAAGAAAAAAAAAAGAGTCCTTTTTAGAAAACACCACAAATCTGATTAATCCAACTTCATCTCCACGCAGAGGAGACAACCAAAGCCCTATGCCTCCATCCGAGATACAGAGCTCCATCCACCTCCTCCAGACTATATTTATCACTGTAATTCCCCAACAACGACTTGATTGTACCATTCACCAATGAACTCAACGGATACTGCGCAAACCCCGCCATTCTAAACCTCGCCTTCCATTTCCCATGAACCTCGTGCCTCTCCACCCTCTCCTTCCCTTCACAGGCGATTATGTTAACAATATCCCTCGCCAGACACTGCTGCTCCACATTAATCCTCTCCTTGTTCTCACGCGGTAGAGTTACATCAATCGATTCGAAAATGGCCGTGTAATAATCCAGAGTCTCGATGAATCTCGGAAAAAAGGCGGCGGTGTTGGCGTTAGATTCTTGCTCGACGAGCGTCACCACCGTCGGCGCAAGACTCTTCACGAATCTCAGAAGCCTGTCGCGGTGGTTCGTCGTGCTCACGCTCTCATCAGGTATGTGATGAAGTTGAAAAGCTAGGTTTACGGCCAAGGCTTCCCCCGGCCGGATTCCGAGATCCTCGAGCTCGATCTCGCAGCCAGACATCGCTGCCGGATGGAACTCAAATGGCACCCTGCATGATTCGGCTAACCGCGACAGTCTTTGCCCCACAATCTCTAATCCGCCGCCGCGGGCGTAAGCGTTTAAAGAATCATCGAACCCTGTTACTCTGACATGAGGCGGTCCACCGGGCCTGGAAGCTAGGGCTTGGATTAGAGTCACCCATTGCGTTCCCTGCGCGATCTGTAAGTCGATGATGTGGATCCTATCTTCATTCTTCACGGCTTCAGCAATGGCACCATTGGCAGACATATAGCCAAATTTGAAGTAAGGGCAGACCTCATATAGAATATGCATGTAAGACAGAAACTCAGAGCTAGTTGGTTCTCTGCATTTCAGAGCTTTGTAGATCAAACTCCCCGAGGAAGAAAGACGCGCGACGAGTCCTTCCAGCAGATAAGCTCCTAATCGTTCGATTGGTTCTCCCGAAACCGAGACCATTTGTTTTAGCTCTGCGATCAGCCATTTGGCAGTGGTGAAGTTGTTTTCACCGATGGCGTAAGCACAGGCGGCGAGCACCTGCCGGAGATCCCTGTTTGGAATCTCCATTTGAATCTTGAAGGTATCGAAGCTCTCTAACACAACCAGTTCAGGCCCAAGCATCGCGCTTTCTAGCTCCCTTAACTTGTCATTCAGATCTTCAGTTAGACATGAAGCGCTCACAGGAGATTCAGAAGCGGCATCTGAATGGCTTTCGGTAGATGAAGAGAAACTGGAGGTTGAGGGAGAGCTGTGGGTGTGAGTGGCGACTGCTGAAGAGGATTCAAGTGTGCAGTACCGTAAATTACTCGACTGAGGGGATGAGTTTCTCATCTGAGATTCATTGAGTGAAGATTTGTTGTTGGGAGGAAGATGATTGGGGCTTATTTGTTTCAAATGCATGGAGTTGTGAACAGGCTGTGATTGCTGGGATTTGACAGAATTTTTTTGAATATCTGAAGCTTGCATTGGTGTTAAACTCGCTATCATGACGAACTCGAAGCGCCCCAAACCATTTAGCAGAATAAAACGGCTAGTTTTTTTAATATTAGAACTGTAAATGATGTGCCAGATGATCGAACACCTTCTCTGGTAAAATTATGTAATTTTTTTATTGCAAGAAAAGATTTTTCCATGAAAATATTGCTCTTTGGAGGGTGGTATTCTGCAAAAGTGGAATTTTGAAGTTAACCGAATGCCCGAAATAAAGAAAGAACACATTTACTTACAGACACTGAACAAAAGCTCAGAAATGCAGGAAAAAAAAAGCATATCTTTCATAGTCAAACCTTCCAAAAACTTTAACCCCTCATTGATGATGATTGCATAGTTTAGAGCAAGACTATATTACAGAGGAAGCAATGATGACAATCATTCTAAAATCAATTAATGTCTCTGCTATACATTGGTGATAATCATGATGCATCTTCTGAGGATCAACACAACAAACAAGAAAGCGAAAAAGTCTACAGAAATTAAAAAAAGTTATAACATTTAATTGGTTTCTGTGCCCAGTAGACCTTCAAAACATAAGTAATATTCTTATTTAAATAAGAACAAAACAAAAATAAAATTACAAAATTTATTACTCTCTGTAGCATCACAAAGATATAGGTTTATTCATGAAAGTGATTTCAATTTCTTTTTTCAAGGTCAAAACAGGGTTTAACTAGCAAATATGTTAGTTTTAGAAATTATACTTCTATCCACCATCAAATTCAAACAACCATTGAAATAATTTCATGGAATTATTGTAAAAGAAGAAATGACTAATTTATAATTTCCATGAAAAAAAAAAAAA